AATATCCAACGATCTCCAAATGATCTGATCTTCTATATGTGAGCATATAATCTTTAGTTCTCTTAAGGTACCTCATCACCCTTTTGGCTGCTTTCCAGTGATCTAATCCAGGATTACTAAGGTATCTACCCAACACACCAACTATATACGCAATATCCGGACGCGTACATACTTGAGCATACATTAGGCTCCCAACCGCCGAGGCGTAAGGGACCTTTTGCATTTCCTGGATTTCCAAATTTCCCTTTGGGCATTGACTTAGGCTAAATTTGTCTCCTTTATCCACAGGGATATTTCCTGGTTTGCAGCATGCCAAATCGCTCAAGCACTTTATCGATATAGCTCTTTTGTGATAACCCTAGAATACCTCGAGATTGCTCCCGGTGTATCTGGATTCCTAATACAAAAGACGATTCACCAAGATCTTTCATTTCGAAATTATTCGAAAGAAATTTCTTAGTTTCGTGCAACATGCACATATCGTTTGTGGCAAGCAGAATGTCATCCACATACAAAACTAGAAAAATAAATTTACTCCCACTGAACTTGTGATAAACACAATCATCAAAAACATTCATCTCAAAACCTTACGAGATAATTATTTGATGAAATTTGTGATACCACTGTCGAGACGTTTGTTTGAGCCCATAGATGGATTTTCTTAATTTACAAACCATTTTCTTCGGGTCATCGACCTCAAAGCTTTCTGGTTGTACCATATAGATCGTCTCATCAATGTCACCATTGAGAAACGCCGTCTTTACATCCATCTGATGTAGTTCCAAATCAAAATGTGCCACTAGAGCCATGATTGTTCTAAAAGAGTCCTTCGAGGATATCGGATAAAAGGTCTCTTTATAGTCAATCCCTTCCCTTTGAGTATAGCCTTTAGCCACAAGACGCGCTTTACACCTCTCCACATTGCCATTTGCATCCCGTTTGGTTTTAAAAATTCATTTGCAACCAACGGGTTTTGCACCTTCTGGTAATGGGACAAGTTCCCAAACCTTATTGTCTTGTATTGACTTATACTCTTCACGCATCGCTTCGATCCATTTATTTGAGTTGGGATCCTTCATGACTTGTTTGAGGTTGATTGGATCATCCTCATTCAAGCCATCCACATTCTCATTTTCTTGAAGAAACACCAAATAATCATCCGGAATGGCATTTCTACGTTCTCTAGTGGATCTCCGCAAAAGCGTTGGCTCTTGAACTGTATGTTCTTGAGTTTGTTGAGTTTGTTCTATAGATACATGTTGAGGTTCAGGTTCAAAATGAACAGGCTCCTCAATTGTATCTTGAAACTGTATGGGAGCTGAAATGACTATTTTCTCTTGAGGGATCGGGTCAACCACTTTGGTGATTTCTTGATCCTCAAAAGTAAAGTCTGAAACTGTATTTCTCCCCTCAAACTCAACATCCTCAAAGAACGTGGAAATGCCCGTCTCAAAAATATTTCTTGATGTGGGATCATAAAATTTATACCCCTTTGACCGTTCCGAGTAACCAATGAAATAACAGCTAACCGTACGAGGAGCTAGCTTTGGTTCATTTGGCCTATAAGGCCTCGCCTCAGCTAGACAAGCCCACACCCTAAAATGTCGTAAGCTAGGCTTACGCCTAGTCCAAAGTTCATAGGGTGTTTTAGCAGTCGCCTTAGTTGGTACTCGATTTAGGATGTAGACTGCAGTCTTTAGTGCTTCCCCCCACAAGGATCGTAGTAAAGTAGATTGACAAATCATACTTCGAACCATATCCTTTAACGTGCGATTTCGTCTCTCAGCAACACCATTCATGCTAGGCGAACCTGGCATAGTGTACTGAGGAACTATTCCACACTCCTTAAGGAAGTCAGCAAATGGGCCTGGACGTTGTTCACCGAATCCATCATTTCTGTCGTAATATTCACCTCCACTGTCAGATCTGACGATCTTAATGCGTTTGCTGAGTTGATTTTCAACTTCAGCTTTAAATGCTTTGAACATGTCCAAGGCCTCAGATTTTTCCCATATGAGGTATAGATAACAATATCGAGAATAATCGTCTATGAATGATACAAAGTATTGTTGACCATTCCATGAAGGTGTAGGAAAAGGCCCACAAATATCCGTATGTATCAACTCTAAGACTTTCGTAGCTCGATAAGAACCTATCCTCTTTACTTTGGTTTGTTTACCTTTAATGCAATTGACACAATCATCAAAATCCGAGAAATTAATAGAATCAATAATTCCATCCTTAACGAGTCTTTCAACTCTATTTCTCGAAATATGTCCCAAACGTTTATGCCATAGCATACTTGATTCATTTAATTTTCGCTTAGTACCTCTTGATTCCACATTCAGGGTTTCGTTATAGGAAGTTATAGTATCGAGAATATATAAATTATCATTTTCCATAAAAGTACCAAAACCAACCACATTAGAATTAAAAGACAATACAACTTTATTGTTTCCAAATGAACAATAATAACCGGATTTGTCCAAATAAGAAACAGAAACCAAATTTCGTCTAAAAGACGGTATAACAAAAGTGTCTTTTAATTCCACAAAATGTCCAGTACTTAATAATAATTTAAATATGCCCACAGCTTCCACATCCACCGATTCACCATTTCCGAAATAAATGCGTCTTTCAGCATCAGTTGGTTTTCGGTGGCTTAGGCAACCATGCATTGAAACACTGATGTTAGTAATTGAACCGAAGTCTAACCACCAAGTGTTTCGAGGTACTGAAGCTAAATTAACTTCAGAACAAACCAAATTAAAGAATGTACCTTTCTTCACGCACCAGACGGAGTACTTAGCACAATCTTTCTTTAGATGTCCAGATTTCTTGCAAAAGAAGCATAAAATCTCCTCCGGTTTACCCTTTGGAGCTGGACCCTTAGCAGTCTCAACCTTAACGACCTTAAATTTTCTTTTAAAGCCACCAGCATCTTTCGAGGTACCAACCATATGTACCTCCTCAGCCCTATTATGCTTCATTATTTCTTCTTCCTCAACTCAGTGAGAAATGAGCTCATTAAGAGTCCATTTCTCCTTTTGGCAGTTATAACTGACCTTAAACTGATCGTATTGAGGAGGAAGAGAGAGCAGAACCAATAGAACAAGCATGTCCTCCGAAAGGTCTAACTTTAGTGCCCTCAACTTATAAGCAATATTGGACATCTTGAGGATGTACTCCTTTATGTTGCCTTTGCCGAGATACCTCATGGTAATGAGACTCTTTAAAAGAGTACTCATTTCCGCCTTATCGCTTTTGTTAAAGCGCTTTTCAATCTCGACAATGAACTCTTTAGCTAGAGTGATATCATCAGATATCGTTCCTCGAAAGATTTCTGGAATGCTTTTCTTTATGATCATAAGACTTAGGCGATTAGACCTTTCCCACTTCTCAAAGCACAATTTTTCCTCAGTAGTGTTGTTCTCCGTAAGAGAAGCAGGTTGGTCTATCCTTAATGCCAAGTCTAGATCCATACAGCCCAAATGAATCAAAATTGATTCTTTCCAGTTCTTAAAATTGTCTCCAGATAAAGTGGGGACTGGATAGTTGGTAGACACCATAGATGAAGAACCTGATGAGAATAATGAACAGAGATACTCACATTATTATCCATAATTAATCATTTAAACCAAATATGGTTTAAACCCATAGCAAGATACCAAGCACAACATCAATATTATATCTCTGGATAATAATATTAATTGTAAGCGGTACTCTTGTTGTAATAATCAAATCTTGACAATAAATTTTGTCAAACAATAAAACTATCTTTGGATAGAATTATTGTTCACATGAAAAACTTTATAATTGTCACAGATTTATTATCACAAGTATGTTTGCAATTCGGCCATGTGTCGGTTCACCTTTGGGTTAATCAACACACGCATGAAATACAAAAATACAACAATTTTTAGTATTTAAATAAATTAATCTACACAAAAAAGGTCACTTTGACAACATTTTGTTTCAATTAATTTATTTAAATTAAACTTCAAGTGCCGAACATTTAACTGAATATCGGCGTCAAAATTTAGTTGGATCACAAACTAAACAAAAGACCCAAAAAAAAAACTTGAATATAAAACCTTTATACCAAAGCGTGCAAACTGATGAATTCGACCTCAAAACAATTAAAGAGTTTAAATAAAAATTTGCACGGCCTGATAACATACAATTCGAATTCAGTTGAACAAATAATTCCTGATCATGCTCCAAAATTAGCTAATGAACATTCATAATGTTATTACCCTGTTGGGGTCTCTGTGTTGTGTAGTTTTTTTTTTTTTGTGTTTTTTATTACCCTGTTGGGGTCGGATCTAGGCGGTCTTCTGACCTGTCTTCCCTTTTTATTCAGCTGTTGGCTGCTGTGTATTCAACCGTTGGTTGTTGTGTATTCGCGCAGTTGTGCTTTTTTTAATTTATAACATTTTTATCGTTTCGAAAAAAAAAAGAACATTCATAATGAAATTAAGTCCACTAAAGACGAATTGATTTTTCGTTTTATACTAAACATGAGGCAGTCAACTAAGTAGACCTTTCTATTATTGCTTTATACTAAACTCTTTTGATTGCCCAAATGGAGCATTGACTTGTACCAAAAAAATCTCATCCCAACCAGTGGGTTTGACCTGCATTGAATTTGAATATCACCATTTTTTTTTTCATATGCTCTGAATGTTGCAATGTGTGGACTTTTGAGATTGTCAGGATTTTATAAGACACTGATTGAAATTTCAAATTTTTAGCAGGTCTATATTTTATTTTCAGAAGCAAGCAGGGTCACAATTAAAGCTGGTATATTTATTTCCACAAAGTGCTAAAAATGATCTGCAGTGGCGTAATCAAAGGAGCATGTAGCATACAAAGACTTACAACTATCAACATCTACTCAAGACTGCTAACAAAAAACAACCGAGCTAAAAATGAAAAAAAGAAGATAACAAGTAAATACTATAGAATGACCCTGCATATTCACCTCCTCTGTGAATGGCCTATATCGACTTTGGCGACCCCTCGAGGAGGTCGAGGATGTAAGTACCCAGCTCGTGTTCACTGTACTTTACGTGTTTCTCGCATACGGAGCTCCCGGCCCGCCCCAAAAAGTCCCGGTACGCATGAATCACCATCTTGGTAGCCTTGATTTTCAGTTCCTCCCTCAGCTGCAGGTCCGGGACCCACCACCTCGTCTGCCTCTTGTACACGCCCTCAAATGCGGCTGCAAAGGCCCGACACATCCCCTTCTGGCCCGACTTCCCCACCCTCCTGTCGTCCCGCAGCAGGTCGAGCACCGGGCCCCATGTCTCCCGCTCGTAGCACGTCGCGTGGTGCCGGAATTTCCCGATGTGGGCCTTCACCCACTCGTCCCCAAACTGCTGTTCGACCGGCGATTCGCGCACCTTCCGGACCATGTAGTGGATGTTGTTCATCATAAACACGTGCTTTAACGGGCGGTCATTGTATAAATTGGACTTCCAGTTCAGGTTGGCCTCCAGAGCCGACGTCAGGGACCGCAGGTGATCCGGGATGTTCGGGCCGGGCCCTGCATCTTGGGCCCGGAACAGCCGCTCGAGGGTTTCACCGTAGTCCACGAAAAACGTGACGTAGTTCATGACGTACTTCGTGATCGGGTGTACGCCGCCACTGGCAAGGGGTGTCGTGGACGAGCACAATGAAATGTGGTTTTCCAGTTCCCTGTAAATGGCCATAGCCGAGTCGCCCAACCTCATCAGGAGGTCGTGAAAGTCGGCCCGGATTGAAGGGCCCGTCTCGTCCGGGAACAGGGCATCGATTTCTGGTTGGAGGCCCGTGAGGGTCTCATACATGTCGAGCAGGCAGAAGAGCCACTCGGGCCTGTGGGGCCCGATGGAGACTGCGAGGCCGAAATTAAGGAGGCGCATGACGGGGGCTCTCGAGGCCTCAACCAGGCATGCGGAGCTAGTGATGGGATCTCCGTACTTGCCGAGCACCAGGTCGAAGAGCCGTTTCATGGCTACGAGGTGTGTGCCGATAATGCCCCTGACCGCAGCCCGCCACTTCCGGATCCTCGAGTTCATCAGCTCCCACTCCATCCTAAGCACATCCTCGATGCTGAGCTGCTCGAAACCGAGGGTAGCCGCCACATGCTCAGCCAGCACGTTCCTCCAGAAGCCCGTGAAGACCCAACAGAACTCCCGGCCGTAGCCTGACCCAAACATCAGGCCCGCTATGGACTTGATATGGGGAATCGAGTCCGGGTGGACAAGGTCCGTTTCGTAACCCACGTCGCTCTCCGAGCTGCTGAACCTTCCGGTCCTAACCGAGTCATCCTCGTTCGAGACGAGCGAATCCTCATACTCCGTGTGCTCGAGAAAGCCTTGCTTGCTCCTGATGAGTGCATGGGCCAGTTCGTCCTCGAGCCGGGCCATGGCCGAATGGAGAGTGTTCTGGGCCCGATCGAGAAGCTCCCTGCTCGTTTTGGGCAGGTCCATGTCCTCGAGGCTTAATGTTAGTCTTTGGACCTCGGCAACGGCTTTGAGGTACTCGGAGATGGTTGTGTGCCCTGCATCCCAAATCTTGGGGTGGTTCGAGTGCAGGCGCGTGATGGTTTGGGCGGCGGACATGAGTCGGGCTTCGATCTCAGCAGTGCTGCTGTTGTGGGCCCGGTGGGCCTTGCCGAGCTCGATTGCTCTGGAGAGATGGGCACTGAGATCGGATAGGAGCCATTTCGTGTCGTGGTTTAGGTCGGTGGTGGACTCGAGGGCCTTCGCCAGGTGATGTGCTGCGGCTATCAAGTGGTGTTCCCGGTCGAAGGTTCCATCCATTCGGATGTGTGTGTGTGTGTGAGAGAGAGAGAGAGAGATATGCAATTCCTCCCTCTTCTTAGAAATGGAGGTTGTTGTACTCAAGAATCTGAAGGCACATGTTTGGGCTTGGTATTAATGGCTGGATAATTCTGATTGTGAAAAGAGCAGCATTGAATAACAGACTTGGCATTTGGCAAGGTAGTTTAAGTAATGTGTCCGGGGTAAAACTGTAATTTAAGCACAAACTATGGAGATTGACCCCATGCAGTCTCCCATCTTGATCCTAATGTAAATTTACAAGTTATGATAGAAAGATAAATGAGGCTACCACTGTTCAAGCAGAAAACAGGAATGAATGAAGTCCAGATATTCCAACAACCCTATCATGCACAGTACTAATCCAAATCAACTCCAAACCTCATCAATCATCATAGTGATAAACACATGTTGGATGTATCGTATATTCATATACAATTTTGCTATGGAACCATCGAATGATAACGACTTACGGAGCCATCCACACTGTACCACAATGAAAGAATACTAAACAAGAAAGATCGCCGAAAACCAGATAGTCGTCGAGAAAAATGAACACTACAGAAGTTCAGCTTCATATGTCAAAGTCAAGATTTTATGCCGGTTTGAGGGGCCGACCGAGATGCTGATCATGAAACAGGAAAAAAAAATTGGAATTTGATGATAAAGTGACATGACTTTTGAGACAAGTTTGGTAAATGTTTCGAGGAGTTCAATGAGCGAGAAGAATGAGCAGTCCCAACAAAAGTGGGGAAACAAGCAGCGAGAACAGATGGAAAAGAGAAAAGCTTAGATATATGGTTGAAATTTGAAGCCAATGGTTATCAAGTTGAATGGAAGTCGTTATCTCTACAATTTTA